GCGATACGATCAGTTCCAATTATAGGCCTATCTCAATCGCTACAACCTGTGCGAAACTATTTGAGTCTATTATTCTGGATATTTTATCGAAATTTATTTTTATAAGTGACGCTCAGTTTGGTTTTAAAAAAGGTAACTCTACTGAGTTGGCAATTTTTTCCTTAAAACAAATAGTAACGTATTACGTGTCACGAAGAACAAAAGTATACGCTTGTTTTTTGGACTTGAGTCGCGCCTTCGATAGGGTAAACTATAGCATCCTGTGGGATAACTTAAAACTGGTGGGTGTTCCTTCCGACATAATTAGAATCCTTATTAATTGGTATAATACGCAGGTTAATGTAGCGAACTGAGATGGCTCGCTTTCGGACGAGTTTGTACTGACTAGTGGGGTTAGGCAGGGTGGGCTGACTTCTCCTCTGCTGTTTAACCTTTACGTTAACGCTCTAATTGAGGAGCTCAATGAGACGGATATCGGCTGTCATATAGGTGGGAAATGTGTAAACAACCTTGGTTACGCAGACGATATGGTTTTATTGAGCCCCTCAATCGGAGCCTTAAGGAAGTTAATTTCTATTTGTGAGAGATACGCAGCAAGCCACGATTTAGTTTATAATGCAGACAAGTCTGTGGCAATAGTCTTTGGAGCGCATAGTAAAGATGTTTGTTTACCATTATACCTGAACGGCAAAAATTTGAAGTTTGTTACGAGCTTTTGATATTTAGGACATATTGTATCGAGTGACCTGAGGGATGATCAGGACATGGACAGAGAAAGGCGGTCCCTTGCTGTACGTGCAAATATGATTGGCAGGAAATTTAATAAATGTGAGTGAGATGCTAAAATATTACTATTTAAAACCTATTGCCAATCGCTTTACACACCGCATCTCTGGACTAAATTTAAATAGGAAAACTATCGAATCTTTAAGGTTCAATATAACGATTCGTTCCGATTATTATTTCGTTTTCCGAGGTACTGTAGTGCGTCTACAATGTTCGCTGAGGCACGCGTACCGACGCTCGATGCTTTGATAAGACATCGTGTGGCCAGATTTAGAAGTAATCTTCTCAAATCTGGAAACACGATTATACTAATTTTAACGCAAAATTGTAGTGAAATATTTAAATATTGGTCTAGTATGTTAAGGTGTAAGTTTTAATTTGTTTGATGGCATTTATTTCATTTTTATTTATTTTTGTATTACATTATAATTTTATTTAATTTAAATTTTTTTTATGTTTGTTGATTATAAGTAATTATGTTTTTTTTACGGGCCTTTGTTGTCTGTCAATAAATGATTATTATTATTATTCTTATTTACCATTGATGACCATTTTGTGAGTTCTGTTACTTAAATATGAAGTAATAAGTCTAAGAGCCAAATTTTTTACACCGTAATGCTATAGTTTCCTGATTAATCTCTCATGATGAACACAATCGAAAGCCTTGGAAAAATCACAAAAAATACCTAAAACATCTTGTGAATTCTCCCAGGCATTAAAAATATATTTCATAAGCTCAACACCGGCGTCAGACGTCCAGCGACCCCTTGTAAAACCAAATTGGTTTTTATGAAGTAATTTATTTGTATTAAAAAAAAATAACAATTGATCCAAAATTATCTATTCAAAAAACTTACTGACAGTTGGTAGTACAGAAATAGGTCTAAAATTAGCGGGGTCCAATGCACTACCAGATTTAAATAAAGGTATTACTTTACTATACTTCATTAAATCAGGAAACATCAGAATCGATACAACTATTAAAAATAATAGCAAGATGAGGTGCAATTAAATCTATTATGGACGCAATAACTGTAATGGAAATCCCCCATAAATCTGCGGTTTTCTTTACATCAATGGTTTTGTAGTATTTTACAATATCTTGCGGTAGTACTTTTTCAAATATAAATTCTTTTAAACAGGTATTAACATTCTGTTTGAGTAATGACTCGGCGACAGTTGGGGAAGTATTCAATGACTCTGTTGTCAAGATAGAAACATCAGTGAAATATTTCTCAAACACCGCTGAAACTTCTATGTATTCTAGACTACGTACAGAAAAGGACGTATTGTCGAATTGAGATCCTCCTCTTTCTTTGAAGACAACTAAAAACAGACCACAGTGCTCCAGTATAAGGTAGAGGATGCACATAGAATCATGTTCTCGAAATATATCTTGTTGTCACTTCGTTTTCTGTCGTCGCAAAACATGCGATATGTCTGTGTCTAAGGTTTCCATCTAAAAATAACGGGTGTTATTTTTGCGTAAGAGGAATTCAGGCGTAAACGCACGAGTCTTGACCAAACTAAGCTTTGCAATCAGACACGCCCGTCGCACAGAGGGGTAGGTAGATACTACGGATTTCATTCGGCACGATTCCGACACAGCTCTCTCGCCTCCTTTACATCCATATACCTACGCATACATGCTCGTCGGTTGAGGGTACTTTTGATTTGACCCATTTTGAATACATTGCCAATTACATCGATAAAATTCCATCAAGGGTGTCCCTGCCCAGCTCTCTGCCGTTCCCTTCTTTCTTTGGGTTACCATAGCCATTTTTTTTATTTCAAATTATAGGTTGTATTTATGTATAAATCCATCCATCCATTACAATCTATAAGTCCACTGCTGAACATAAGCCTCCCCCATAGTTTGATTCATAGGGGGGACTTTGCCATAGTTACCAAGCTTGGCAAACGCAGTTTTTTTAAATATTTTATGTTGATATCAGCAAGATGCTGCTGGTCATCTCTTGGTTTGTTTCCTACTGTCGCCTCTTACTCAACTCACGGGACTATATGGGATGGTGGTTATTCTTACACCACAACTACAAGGTACATATATAAATAAAACACTTTAATATTTTAAACCAACTTTATTTTTAGCTAAAATATAATAATTCATACATCAAAGAAGTTCCTTAATTATAAGGTAATAATACCGCAATAATACAAAAAAAATATAATGAAGAAATCAATTATAATAGTTAATAATAATAATAATAAAATAAAGGTAAGTTAATGTAGCTACCTTCCACAAAATTCTTAACAAACCACTGAGTTCTCGCTTTGTGCTGGTTTTGAGCTGAGTCCAAGGATAAAAAAACGATCGAGTCAGATCTTAAAAATATAAGCGACGGGGAAATGGGCATTGGACGGTTGTCGATTGGAAATAAACGCAACAAAACAAGTAAACTAACCAAACAATGCATATAAAATGAGCGAGCCTTACGTTTAGGCCTCATAGCTTACTCGAATAGTTCTAATGGCACGTACATGGTTTGCTAAAATTAACAAGTCCTAATCGCATGACTCGCTCTACTGAGTACTGGTACTGATTCTGATAGCTGTTGATGGAAATTATCATTGAGATCTTAAAATTTTGATCCAAAATGATCGAATAAACGAACGGAGATAAGTTTCAACTTTGAACAGCGACTAAGAACATTACATATTTAACGAAGCAAAGCACTAAATTGAAAACAACGGTACTAAAATACACCAATGATTATGTCGACAACAATTGCTTAGTTATTTTAAAGTCGAATGTCCTTATTCTACGCTAATGTGCCAAAAAGTCCATGATATGCAAGATGTAAAGGACAAACGACATAAGCGTAGCTGAGGAATAAGAGAGGTCCCAAAGCGACTCCCCTAGAAATAGGTAGAACGATTTTGATTTTGGAATGAATATACACAGATATCTTCTCTCCCTTCCCCACAAATAGGTTAACTACGCATTGTTCGAATGCCCGAGCCAATAAATTACTCGAAACAAATAAATCTTAACTAATTAAAAAGGTGAGTCGTCACATTATCGCCATTTCCCACTTGTGCGCATGTGCGTCACGTATGCACTAACACATAGCCACTTAGTACCTAATTGTTAGTAAAAATTCCCTTAACACATTCAAAATATATATATAATTATAATATAGTATCTATAGCTGATCCTAAAACGATACCGTTTCATATAGTAGTTGTATAATATAGTACATCTATGTATGTTTTTTCTCAAATAACTCTGTGCCTAAAATACATTTTAAGCCGATTTTTTGTTTAAGAAGCTCGTAGAGGGTTAGAAGTGATTGGACATTATCATTTAACACATTAAAAACTACTCGTGAGACAGTGTTTTGTACCGTTAAAACGAATTGAACCGATCCGTGTTGTACTTATTAAATGCGGCTTCGGAAGCACCGAAGCGGGGGTAAACGTAGCTTTACGAATTGGGTAATGGAATTTTTAGAAGCGAAGTGTTGCCGGATTGCTTGCAACCGGCCGAAGCGTCACTTAAGTGTAATTAATATACAATCAGTGTTTGACATCTTAACTCTAAATCCACTTATATACCAACTCCATACGAAATTACAACGACTACTGTTTTTTTAATACATACAATGTTTCACTTACATTAGAAAACCGATAGAAAAGTCTCAAAGAGCTCTACAAACAGACGGACGAGCCTCAGCTAACGAAGCAAGCGAGGGGAAATTATCGATTACGTATAAATTTGATATGATCAATTTTGAGACTTAAGTTTTAGAGACTAACAAATCTTATAGTACCAAGTCTTGTGCCGCGTGAAGGTGCTGAAGCTTAAACGAGTACGTGGGGAATTGCACTCTATTCCATTGTAATAAAGTCGCCTTTACATTAATAATGAATAGAATAAATCTTGCCCAACGTACTCCGTCGTCAATAGAAACTAGAAAATCAATTCCATTATCTGTTTAGGAATTACAGAAATGTGACGTTAAGTGGACGTCATCTTTTTAGGAAATCTACTATTGATATCTGAACAAAATCATTGCCAATTGTAGCGTATTGCAAAAGTGATAAAGATAAGACTAAAACGACGACCATGTTGTAACGTCACGTGAAGATTCAGCGTTGACGAGTGGTGTGCGCGAGTGAGAGGGGGGACGGGGGACGCGCGCAGGTGCGAGCGAGACGGACGAGGTAAGTACGGGCCGCGCGAGAGGGACGCATTACATCGTGCTGTTGTCCCACTCTAGCTGGCTGATGTTCCTGTACTTGTGCTGCTTGCCCGGCATCGCTGCGGAGAAAGAATCTGAAATTAGTTTTCAAAGAAGAGAACAGAGTAATAACTTAAGTTATTAGTTATGTTAGTAAAACTAAATTGAGGAAAAATGGAGAGTTTAATAAAATTATTTTTTTCTAAAGCATATACGTGGTCGAAGAATGTCTCGACCGAGGATGGACCACGCTGGCTCAGAATACTAGCGTTAAGTAGTCGTATAATGCTGCTTTGTTTCGTACAGTGAGTGCAGAGAACCGGATTATATTGGAATCGGGGCATTCCATCGTAGTCTTCAGAGGTTACAACGGATCTGCATTTTGGTCTTAATTGAGGATAGATGTAGATGTATGGGCTTCAGCATCCACTTACCATCAGGTGAATTCGGTACTCGTTTGTCATCCCTAAAAAGATCCTAAAAAGATCATAGACGGAGGCTATACATATGATATTCACGAATAGAATAGAATAATTTCTATTCAATATAGATTATTTACTTAATAATTATATAGCCATTTTTTTTATTTACCACTAATTCGGAAAATACCTATGTCCTGGAAAGAAACAATAAGAAAAAGAGCGGGATTATATGTTTTTTAAATATATTATATAACTTTACAATAATTTTGTACAAAATTTATATGAATTTTAACAGAACCACCATGATGGCGATCACCTCATTTCCAGGGGTTATTTGCATTTATGTATTTCTTGACATTATAATAACCCTTTTTGCACAATTTTTCTTTAATAAAACTTTGTAACTTGCTGATTGACAAACTTTGAACGACGTTTGAAGATAACGTTTTCCAAGGAGATTTATTTAAATATTGACAACATACGTTCTGCGTCGTCGTCATCCTCGGAGTCGTTGCGGTCGGAGTCGGAGTCGGAGCAGGAGTCTGCATCTGAGCTGTCCGCCGTGCGCCCGCACTCAGGAGCCGCCTGCTGGAACACGAGCACACGCTATAAGACACACCAGATAATAATAATAACGTCTTCCAGACCAAGGTCACGGCAGCCAGTCTCAACGGAGACTAGCCATCTGCGCGGGACAGGATTACAGTGCCTGAGTGTATGCGCCATTATACGTGCACTCTCTTCTCCCTCACTCTTATAGGTCAATGAGAAAAGTAATCCGACACGGCCCGAGAGAGATCAGGCGCCGGACCAACGGCTTTACGTGCTTTCCGAGGCACGCGGGTGAATGAAACACCGCTTACTTTCTGATTCACAGCTGCTACTTTTAGAATCTCTTGACCGAAAACCCAATAACTAATTTTTTTTTTTGCCCAACCCGGAACCTTATGGTCAGCAATCGCGTTTACGACCACTACACTATACCACATACAACAGTCTAACTACTATCAGTCAGTCATTGAAGGCGCCTAGTCGGCGCAATCGTGCGGTGCGGTGCGGGGCGAATCGCGAGCGGAGCTCTATCGAACGGTTATTAGACGTTCGGGAGCTATCTGGCAGGGCATGTCTTATTACGTTACAAATAAATTAAAATGGTTCACACTACGTATGCTTTAAAAATCGTCGGGTACAACAGGAATTTAAAATCCAGTAGTTCAAAAAATCGAAAACATACTATATCAGTTGCACATTTGTAAATATGTTTTAATGTAATCCCAATAAGGTAGTTGAATTAGGTTAAAAACTAATAAATATTTAATACTCCTTAAAATAAGGCTCAAAAATAATGCTATAGCTGAAAAAATCCGTCAAAATAAAAGTTATACACCTCAAAATTTTCTTTACAGTCTTCTTTTTTTATATTTCTGAACACCAATTGTCTTGTCTGATTAAGTTATTCAATTTGTTAGAATGTGGAATAAAAAATATTTTTATTACTTCCCGTTGTGACAACCCTACCCATTTTATTATTTATGTCGCCTTTCCCAACAGCAAACGCGATTACTGACTGTATGTCCTTCTTAGGCTGTGGCTACACGATGTCCGCAGGATAGCCTGCTGCAACACGTGCATACGCTCAACGGCAGTGGATGCGATACCTAACGCTATACTGTGCCCTCGGGGTAAGGATTCAATTGGGTTTGCTGATATACTTCACTTACTAAACATCTATTTCCATAAAACCGTTATAGTTTGGCGCCTTATGTATTTTGAGATTTTTATTTATTTAAAGAATTTCAAGAATAAATTATGAAATCCGGTCACAAATCACAATACAGATCAAAAGAAATAAGCATTAAATTATTTTTTTTAATTTGATTTATTACACATGCTACACGACTATTCTTATCGATTTGCTTTGTACCTACTTCCTTTTATTTCAGTGTTCTACGAATGTAAATAATATTAAATTACCTTTATATTATAAAAGTATATATATTTAATATTAAAAAAAAAATGCAAACTGTTTAAACCGGACTTAAAATCGAATAAATTAAATAGAATAACAAAATAGGCTTTTAAAATGTCAGATCGAAGGTAATGTATGATTTAGGCTGCTTTTCTACCAGAAATGTGCCAGGCCGCTAAGCGGTGCGAAGATGCGTGGCGACGCTGACGCGAGCGCAGACGAGCTGTACGAGAATGTTTGTAAAGATGATCGCAGCACATACCTTGCACACATTCTTCCCTTGTTTTGTGTGTACAAAAAAATCGCTCCGCTGAGCCGTTTCCACTAGAGCTGCGCTGAGCGAAGCTAGGTAAATGAAATAATTCTATTGGTTCTCAACAAACATATCCCTCGCTACATATCCTCGCACATCTCTGGTGGAAACGCAGCCTTACAGATGAAATACAAGAAAAAATGTTTCGATTAATTTTTTTTTCTTCAGGAGCACTAATTGAAATATTTTGTATTGATTATTCAACAGCGTTTGATTGTATTAATCATAAAAATCGTTTCAAAAATAGCATTAATATGCAAAAATTAGCATGTAATAGTCTTTTAATGATCATGTTTAAAGTAACTAACATTAATGGTGTTAAATATGAAAAATAATTGATAAAAATAAATCAATTATATTAGGTGTTCCACAAGGCTCTATCCTATGACTTGATTTATTTTTAATAGATAAAAGTATTTTTTTATGTTTTTGAATTTAGATAATTTCTTTTTCATAATTTAGTGAATATATTAAAATCAAATTTAAGACTAGACATTAGAATGAGTTTTAATCCATTTTCCGAAGATAGAGCAGAAGGTTTCAGGTAGTAAATAATTACCTCGAGTCTGGTCTAACCCGACAATATAGTGATTTACAACTTTGTCTGTATGCTGGTGTTGTGTGTAAATGTATGTAAATAAGTGCTTTAGGGCGTTTTGGCAGGAATTTGACAGGTGGCAGATTGCTGCTTTTGTATTATTGTTTAAATAAAGGTTGGAAGTAGATTTTGATACGTAAAAGTGGTTAGTGATTCTCTTGACGCTGGTAAAAGTACAACAGTACGAATCCATTATCAAAGAAAAAAAAGAAGTGGTACATGTAGATCGGTAGGTCGCTCACCTCGTCCATGGGGTTGACAGTGATGGTGAGCGCGGAGTCGTCCCAGGCCATCTCGGGGTCGCGCGCGGGCAGCGGGCGGGCGGGCGGCGCGGGGCGGGCGCGGGCGCGGGGGCGGGCGGCGCGGGCGGCGCGCGCGCGCACCGTGCCCAGCGCCACCAGCGTCAGCAGCGCGCCGCACGACACCGCGCCGATCACCAGCGCTACGTGGTCTGCACACCCACAACTCATCAGGGCTAATAATCTCACACTCACCAGATGTCACTACTTGGGACTGAGATCAACTTAACGCTGATGGTCACACAATGTCGTTATCATTGAAAAGTTGCAATTTAATTATAAGTTTTACGGTAATAAGTATCATATTAATTATGTAATACTTTATAATATACTTTTATTAATTATTTAGTTACAATAAACAAAGCCGTGTAGTGGCGGTTAAGAATATCCACTACCCCATATCTTCCCGTGGGTGTTGTAAAAGGCGACAAAGGGAAACAGGCAGGAGATGGGTAGCAGCATCTTCCTCATAACAGCAAAAATACAATTAAAAAAATGCGGTTGCCAACCCGCTCGCCAAGTGTGGCAACTATGGCAAATACCCCCCCTATGAATGTAACAAAGAGACAGCCCCCAGTCCCTGGCGGTCCCGCTACTCCTGGCTACGGTGGCGACCATGGTAACGACGGGGCAGGAGGTGCTAAAAATCTCCGATGGAAGTTCGGTTGCCATCTAAGACAACTCGACCTGGCAACATACAACGCACGCACCCTGAGGACTGACGAGAAGATTGTGGAGCTGGAAGAAGAGACAGACAAGTTACGCTGGCATATTATAGGATTATCCGAAGTCCGAAGAGAGGGGGAGGACACGGTAATCCTCGAATCCAGCAACTTGCTATATTACCGGGAGGGCGACCATCTGTCCCAAGGAGGTATCGGATTTATCGTCCACAAGTCTCTCGTTAACAACCTTGTAAAGATTGAGTGTGTCGACGAGGGTTGCGAACCTTATACTCAGAATCACCAAACGGTATTCGCTGAAGGTCATACAGGTGGACGCACCAACCTCGGCACACCCCGATGAGGAGGTGGAGGAAATGTATGAGGATATCTCTAGAGCCATGCATTCCTCCAAAACCCAATATACGGTGTAATAGGAGACTTCAATGCAAAACTAGGCACAAGAAAGAACGGTGAGCTGAAAGTAGGGAAATTTGGAATAGGGCAACAGAGCCCAAAGGACCAGTAGCTGGCCGACTTCATGGAGAAAGAGGGACTATTTATGATGAACTCTTTCTTTCAGAAGCGGCCCCACAGGAAGTGGACCTGGTCCTAAGCACACTGAACCTAAACGTTAAGTTGGAGAGGTCTCGTCTAATGAATTCAACGCTCCGTCCCGCTCGTGCTCTGTTCCAAAGTCCCGAAACCTTTCAGCTCGAGTTACAAAACCGTTTTCAGTGCCTAGAAGACTGCAATGAAGTTGACGATATTGTTTATGCCCAAATTTGGTCATTTTTGAACGCCATCCAATTGCGTTCGAGCTGGCGCCTCACCCGATGGCATGTAGGTGAGGTAAACGCCGAGGTGGGGCGGCCGTATGCGGCTTGCAGTGGCTCGACGCGTGGGCGAAGAGGGAGAGTTGTTCGCTGGCCGCGAGACGGTGAAGCCGATCTAGGTCATCGCGGCCGAAGGCACGCGACCGTGTAGGGTCCAGATAGTTAGATTTAGGCGTGTACTTCGCTACGTGGATATGTGAATTTTGCAATATTTAACTTGTTCGGGTGATGCAGAATTGTGCACGCGCGCGTCGAGTAGATATACGGTCTAGGATTCGAATCGCGCATTCCTTGATCGATAGCGTCTCCCGGTTGATTGTATGTAAATCATTATAATTGTGCCGTCGCGTTAAGTGCCCCTTTTTGTGTGTTGGTTGGTTCGTTAGTTTACGTGTCAACGAGGCGTATTTTGAATTCTTTTCGCGACGTGGTGTTTTGGTGTCGAATGAAGGAACTTAGTTGTGTTTAACGCTGAACCGTATAACTCATTAAGAGATCGCTTTAGTTCCCTATTTATAATTTTGTGATAAGTGAATCCGGGACATTGAATGTAGAATTTCGAACTACTGTCCTTACTGTGTCGGGTATCACGTGTTCGATTCTACGATGAATGTGAAATTAGGCGAGTTTAAGTTAGTTAAATGTACAATGAAGCTAATAGTACTGAAATAGTGACAATGAAGAAAGAAATGGTCCAACGGTGGAGCCTGCTGGAGCGATGCAGCATTGTGGGGCAGCCTGGAACTCGGCCGCTGCTAGTCGCCTAAGTTGGTCAAGGTCTCAGACACTCACACATCACTTAACACTACTTGCCATTCACCTTACACCCACTCATGGCCTGACCGAGCCTTGGTGCGAAGTTAGCTTCTGATATTGAATATTGAACCTTTGCAAGGGCAGCTGCGGGCCGTAACAGATATGAACGACAAGCTCGTGGAAACTGTCCATGCAGTCGGAGCTAAGTTCTGCAAGACCCGCCGCAGAAGAACACAAAAACTTTCCGATCACACTCTCAATCTCATGGCTGTTAGACGGGAGATGAAGGTACATTCTTCAACAGATTTGACAGCATACAGGCAACTAAACAGACAGATCTTCAAATGCATGCGGCGGGACTTACGCAACTTCAATACAGCTTGCATTGAAGAAGCGATCGAGCGGAACCAAGGCTCGAAAGTCTTTTCTTTGCCAGAGATCTGTCTGCCAGAAAGAGCCAACTGTCAAAGCTGAAGACCGAGTGTGGCAGCATCGTTTCGATTTTGAGTGAGATTGAGAGGTTCTATGGGCAGCTGTACACGTCATCGTTGGAGCCACACGCAAGTGTGAGTAACGATCCAAGATCGAATCTTATACGACACTATTCCTAAGATAACCCGGATATCAGTCTGAACGAGATTAGAATGGCTCTCCAGCACCTACAAAACGGCAAGGCCTCAGGCGAGGATGGAATTACAGCGGAGCTTCTGAAAGCGGATAGAAAACCGGTACTTGAGATCCTTCAGAAGCTCTTTAATTCCGTCCTCCATGGTGGCATTACACCGGAGTCGTGGAGCAGAAGTGCGGTGCTCTTGTTCTTCAAGAAAGGTGATAACGCTCTCTTGGAGAACTACAGACCGATTTCCCTTCTGAGCCGCGTCTACGTGCTGTTTTCGAGAGTCATTACGAATCATCTCGCGCGCAGACTTGACGACTTCCAGTACTGCAGTCCCTTCAGTGGTGCCAAGTTGGCTGTCGGTATATCGAAGTGCTGAAGTGTTTGTACAGTAGGGCTACGATGGCTATCCGAGTACAGAACCAGAGTACGAAAGCTATCCAATTGCATAGAGGTGTAAGACAGGTTGACGTGATATCCCCGAAACTCTTCACCGCTGCATTGGAAGACGTTTTCAAGCTTCTGGACTGGAAAGGATACGGTATTGACATCAATGGCGAGTACATCACTCACCTTCGATTTGCCGACGATATAGTCCTTATGGCAAAATCGCTGGAGGACCTAAGCACTATGCTCAATGACCTCAATAGTGTTTCCCAACGGATAGGTCTTAAGATGAACATGGACAAAACAAAGATCATGTTTAATGTCCATGTCACACCTATGTCGGTAGTTGTTGGGAACACTAAGCTCGAAGTTGTTGACGAGTATGTTTACCTGGGACAAATAGTCCGACTAGGTAAGTCCAACTTCGACCGAGAGGTCAATCGACGGATTCAACTCGGCTGGGCAGCGTTCGGGAAATTACGGCACATCTTCTCGTCAGGTATACCTCAAAACCTTAAAACGAAATTGTACAACCAGTGCGTGTTGCCAGTGATGACTTATGGATCTAACACGTGGTCCTTCACTGCTGGCCGTATGAGGAAGCTCAAGGTTGCTCAGCGAGCTATGGAGAGGGCTATGCTCGGGGTTTCTCTGCGTGATAAACTTAGAAATGAGGATATCCGCAGTAGAATCAGAGTGACCGACATAGCCCAACGGATTAGTAAGCTGAAGTGGCAGTGGGCCGGCCATATAGCTCGAAGAACCGACAACCGTTGGGAAAGAAAGGTTCTAGAGTGGCAGCCTCGTACCGGTAGGCGAAGTGTAGGGCGACCCCCCACGAGATGGAGTGACGACCTGGTAAGACATGCAGGAAGTCGATGGATGCAGGTGGCTCAGGACCGTGCTTTGTGGCATTCTTTGGGGGAGGCCTATGTTCAGCAATGGACTTATGAAAGGCTGTAATGATGATGAAACAAAAAATCGGTAATATTTTATTTTTTATACGATATTTTAATATTTTCTTGCAATCACTAGTTCCATCTGCCTAGAATATAATACCATAGTGGAAAGAGTACAGTAACTATTATGAGAAGGTACTAAAATGAGTTGGTGAAAAGAACTCACTAGAGCCGGTGTGTTCGTGTTCTGCGCGCAGATCTAGGAGGCGTGCAGCGGGCAGCTCGGCCGAGTGCGAGTTGCGCTGCGCGTGCGCAGCAAACACTCGCGGCGCTGTGGCAGCAAGCGCAGCGTCCGCAGCATCCGCACCCTCACCGCTGTGCATCTGCCGGGAATCGATATATCTCTTTATGGCGCTGTATTATTGTTTTTTCGTGACGATTTACAACATACAGGCTAGTAATGAGAAACACAGTCAAAACCCTAAGAAATAAAACATATTTCAAAAACCTATGAAGTACTCAAACATCCAATCAAATATGGAAAGCTCCATCGTAAACAATGTTGAAGCGCCTGCGTATCTTTTCTGAGCAAGGAATCATACCACATACTCGCAGTATTTACCTTATTAGATTACGTTAATTTTAAACAGGTTTTTTGGTCTTGCAATATTTTTTTACCCACTTAACTATTGTGAGATAAATAAAATTGTTTAAGTTAACATTCAACCTTTTTACTCCCGAGCTACCAATTACCATCTCAGAAATGGGAGAAAGCATGTGCCCGTTCAAAAATTACATTATGAAAATTATAATAATTTGTAATATCATCTTCAATCATCATCATTATTACAGCCCTTCACAAGTCCACTGCTGAACATAGGCCTCCCCCAAAGAATGCCACAAAGCACTGTCCTGAGCCACCTGCATCCATCGACTTCCTGCATATCTTACCAGGTCGTCACTCCATCTCGTGGGGGACGCCCTACACTTCGTCCACCGGTACGAGGCCGCCACTCGAGAACCTTTTTTACCCAACGGTTGTCGGTTCTTCGAGCTATATGGCCGGCCCATTGCCACTTCAGCTTACTAATCCGTTGGGCTATGTCGGTCACTCTGGTTCTACTGAGGATATCCTCATTTCTAAGTTTATCACGCAGAGAAACTCCGAGCATAGCCCTCTCCATAGCTCGCTGAGCGACCTTGAGCTTCCTCATCCGGCCAACAGTGAAGGACCATGTCTCAATACCATAGGTCACCACTGGCAACACGTACTGGTTGTATAGTCTGGTTTTCAAGTTTTGAGGTATACCTGACGAGAAGATGTGCCGTAATTTCCCGAACGCTGCCCAACCGAGTTGAATCCGTCGATTGACCTCTCGGTCGAAGTTGGACTTACCTAGTCGGACTGTTTGTCCCAGGTAAACATACTCGTCAATAACTTCGAGCTTAGTGTCCTCAACATCTAACGGCATAGGTGACACATGGACATTAAACATAATCTTTGGTTTGTCCATGTTCATCTTAAGACCTATCCGTTGGGAAACACTATTGAGGTCATTGAGCATAGTGCTTAGGTCCTCCAGCGATTTTGCCATAAGGACTATATCGTCGGCAAATCGAAGGTGAGTGATGTACTCGCCATTGATGTCAATACCGTATCCTTTCCAGTCCAGAAGCTTGAAAACGTCTTCCAATGCAGCGGTGAAGAGTTTCGGGGATATCACGTCACCCTGTCTTACACCTCTATGCAATTGGATAGGTTTCGTACTCTGGTTCTGTACTCGGATAGCCATCTTAGCCCTACTGTACAAGCACTTCAGCACTTCGATATACCGACAGTCAACTTGGCACCGCTGAAGGGACTGCAGCACCGCCCAAATTTTAACGGAATCAAGGATTTTCTCATAGTTCACATACGCCAGACATAGTGGCTAATTGTACTCCTCGGACTTCTGTACAATTTGTCGAAGGGTATGTATGTGGTCTATGGTGCTCAAGCCTTTTCGGAAACCGGCTTGTTCGGGAGGCTGGAAGTCGTCAAGTCTGCGCGCGAGACGATTCGTAATGACTCTCAAAAACAGCACGTAGACGCGGCTCAGAAGAGAAATCGGTCTGTAGTTCTTCAAGAGAGCGTTGTCACCTTTCTTGAAGAATAGGACCACCGCACTTCTGCTCCACGCCTCCGGTGTAGTGCCACCATGGAGGACGGAATTAAAGAGCCTCTGAAGGACTTCAAGTACCGGTTTTCCGCCCGCTTTTAGAAGCTCTGCTGTAATTCTATCCTCGCCTGGGGTCTTGCCATTTTTAAGTTGCTGGAGAGCCACTCTAATCTCGCTCAAACTGACGTCCGGGATATCATCGGAATAGTGTCGGATAAGACTCGCTCTTGGATCGTTACTCACACTTACGTGTGGCTCCAACGATGATGTGTACAGCTGCCCATAGAACCTCTCAATCTCACTCAAAATCTCAGGTGTCCCGGTAACGACGCTGCCACACTCGGTCCTCAGCTTCGACAGTTAGCTCTTTCTGGCAGACAGATCTCTAGCAAAGACTTTGGAGCCCTGGTTCCGCTCGATCGCTTCTTTAATACAAGCAGTAATAAAGTTGCGTAAGTCCCGCCGCATGCATTTGGAGATCTGTCCGTTCAGTTGCCTGTATGCTGTCAAATCTACTCAAGACTGCAGCTTCATATCCCGTCTAACAGCCATGAGATTATGAGTGTGATCGGAGAGTTTTTGTGTTATTCTGCGACGGGTCTTGCATAACTTAGCTCCAACCGCATGGACAGTTTCCACGAGCTTGTCATTGTTATCGTCCACTGCATCTTCTAGGCACTGAAAACGGTTTTGTAGCTCGAGCCAAAAGGTTTCGGGACTTTGGATTAGAGCACGAGGGGGACGGAGCGTTGACTTCATTAGACGTGACCTCTCCAACTTAACGTTTAGGTTCAGTGTGCCATTCGGTGATCGCTGCCGGTTTTCACCCTCGCGATCACTGAGACATCACTGAACAGTTGTCGTCTGGTCGTCATAATGAAGTCAATCTCATTTTTTGTCGAACCGTCGGGGCTCGACGAGGTCCACTTCCTGTGGGGCCGCTTCTGGAAGAAAGAGTTCATCATAAAGAGTCCCTCTTTCTCCATGAAGTCGGCCAGCTGCTGGCCCCTTGGGTTCCGTTACCCTATTCCGAAATTCCCTACTTTCAGCTCACCGTTCTCTCTTGTGCCTAGTTTTGCGTTGAAGTCTCCCATTAACACCGTATAGTGGTTTTGGAGGAATGCATGGCTCTAGAGATATCCTCATACATTTCCTCCACCTCCTCATCGGGGTGTGCCGAGGTTGGTGCATCAACCTGTATGACCTTCAGCGAATACCGTTTGGTGATTCTGAGTATAAGGTACGCAACCCTCGTCGACACACTCCCAATCTTTACAACGTTGTTAACGAGAGACTTGTGGACGATAAATCCGACACCTCCTTGGGACAGATGGTCGCCCTCCCGGTAATAGAGCAAGTTGCCGGATTCGAGGATTACCGTGTCCTCCCCCTCTCTTCGGACTTCGGATAATCCTATGATATTCCAGCGCAACTTGTCTATCTCTTCTTCCAGCTCCAGGATCTTCTCATCAGTCCTCAAGGTGCGTGCGTTATAAGTTATCAGGTCGAGTCGTCGTAGGTGGCAACCGAACCTCCACCGGAGATTCTTAGCACCCCCTGCCCCGCCGTTACCATGGTTGCCACCGTAGCCAGTAATAGCGGGGCCGCCGGGGACTGGGGGCCGTCTCTTCGTTACTTTCATGGGGGGTATATTGCCGTAGTTGCCACGCTTGGCGAGCGGGTTGGCAACCGCATATTTTTATTGTTGTTTTGCTGTTATCAGAAAGATGCTGCTGCCTATCCTCTGCCTCAGTTTCCCTCTGTCGCCTTTTACGACACCCACGGGAAGATATGGGGTAGTGAGTACTCTTACCCGCCACTACACGGGACACATCTTCAATCAATTAAATATATTAAGAAAATATATTATATAATATATTTTCTAAGCCACTGTATAGAACTGCTTCTAGAGTATTAAATTGATATATGCAATATCCTAACTTAATTATATAGCAATAAGGTGTAATTTAAAATAATTGTAACAAAACAATTATAGTAACATTGTAATATTTTTTCTACATACCTTATCTCTAGCAATTGCATCCAATTTATCAGCAAGTCCACTGGGACGGAGAGCGTGTGTAGATTCCCCTGATGAGGCAGTTCGAGGATGGATCACGGTTAACTACGAAACAAATGTTAAAAATTAAAACACAAATATATCAGCTGAACAAATTGGGGAATAGAGGGGAGGGGGAGGGCTGAGACGTTTTGTTGGATAACTATAATAAAAGGACAATGTTATAGTTAACGAAGGCTACTTTAAACTTTAATATTCAAATGTTGAACGTACTATATATTATATGAACAGTGGTAGAGCCACGCGGCAGCTTTTGCTGTCGCACGGATGGGCCGGCTTGAACCGGGGTGGTACCACGACCTCACAGAAAACCAGCGTGAGGTAGAGGTTTACCTCTGCGTTTCGCTTGGTGAGTGCAGGTGGCCGGAGGCCCTTTTTACTAGAAATGAGGCATTCCATCTTAGTCCTCACGGGTGACAACGCATCTACATTTTGATTTGTAATAGAAGATAGATGTAGATGTCTATGAGCCGCAGCAACCACTTACCATCAGGTGGACTGTGTGCTCGATTGTCACCCATATCCTATAAAAAAAAATACTATCGATCAACGCAGATCGAGAACAATAACTTGAAGTCTTGCAGTAGTATGCTTGAGCTTGGATTTAACTTTATTAATAGTGGGATCCTAAGCAGATGATAGCACGCAGCCATCTTCTTTATTGAAATTATGTTATTAATGTTCTTTTACGAGGATTTGTAGTCGTGGTCTATCAAATAATCTACTACAAATAATTTAAATGGTCTAACAAATAATATAGTAATCGCTGGCACGATTTTAGCCATGTGACATACTGTAGACTTTCCGAATCGTTGGTGCTTCAAAACAAAAAATCTATCCTGAAATGACTATCAATCAATTTTAAACGACTATAGATTAGTTACAAATACGGACAGCGCCAAAACTCGTGTTTTTTATAGAATAAGGGTGACAAACGAGCACACAGTCCACCTGATGGTAAGTGACATCTACATTAATCCTCGATTAAGTATCAAAATGTAGACACCACTAAGGACTAAGATGGAATGTTTCGTTTCCAGTAAAAAGGGTCTCCGGTTCTCGACATTCACCATACGAAACAGCAACATTAAGCTGCTATTTTACGCTGTTATTTTGTGACAACGTGATCCTACCCCGGTCGAGCCGACCCATTCGTGCTAAAGCCATAATATAGCTGCAGCGTGGCTCTACCACGTACAAGTAGTAGTTCATCAAAATATCAAGACCTACAGTATCAGAGACCTAGAGCAAACTTCTAGGCGCTAAAATAAATCTAAACACTTCTTGTCGATTGTTCCGTATCTACTACATTCATATACTTACAGTTTGCACATATTCGTTGCTAGTGAAACGGCCGTTGAGTTCGGAGCAGGTCAGCTTGAAGACGCGGTTCAGATAATACGCCGGTTTCTTGTTGCTGTACTCGATCTCACGAAGCACCTACACACGATATTCACACATATTACTACGTAAGCTATAGTTTTATTTTAAGGGCGAACATTTAAAAAAAACGCTGTTCTCATATTATTGAGAATAAAATTTTATTGGAAAACAGGTGCCAGAATAATAAATATCTAACTTAAAGAAAACATGTTTCGGTATAAGAAATTGAGTTTAGTCTTTAAAATAATTTGTCATTTGTTAGTAAGAACTTTAACTACAGATCATTAGTATAAATCAGGAACAATAGCGGGCTTAAAATGTTTACTAAGGGAAAACTAAAGGGAAAAACACATGACAAAGGAGATGTATGAAATTGGGTGCTTGACATCGTTCGTAACAGTTATACAAAAATATGTAGGGAATAAAAAGATAAATTATAATCATAATTAAATGGTTTTTATTTCTGTAATGTATAGGACCATCATAAAAACATTTTTTAAAACTGAAAAACGAAAGCTAATGCTTTTACCATAGCAAAAACAAAACGTATTTAAATATTTTTATGTATTTTGTCTATGGCATTAGGTAATGAAAGCTATTTTTTGTAATAAATAGTATTCAGTATCAAAAACAAAAACTCATAATATTGAAACATTGAGGCTAATCTGTAGAGATTAATACTGAATAAAAAAAATAGATTTAGAAAATAGATTGAATAGGCTGTATGGTCGTTTATCATTGCCTGTTTCGAAGGAGACTAAACTTGGTAACTTCGAGTTTAAACTTATCATGCGCTTTTGGCATTGTGGTTGTGTTGTGGACATATTTCGTGTTTTTATTTTCGTGAATTAACTTAACTTGACCTTTGGCTTTTCTCTCGATTTACAGGAAAGTAGGTTATTGCGCCCACATAATGACAATAATGTGTTACTTGGGTTTTGAGAGTAATAGAACAGACAATGTACAGTCTCAGGCTGCTTTTCTAGATGACATTTTAATAATAATTGCAGAAAATAATTAAACAAATAGAAAAGTTTGAGTTGTATTTTATTTAATAATAACTAAAACACGGCATACTTTTGTGTTCTTTTCAATTTATTGAAGCAACTTATCCCAATAACGAGTGATTTTTACTACATAAAAATAATAAAATAAAATCCCAGGTCCTGATTTTTTGTCATAAGTTACAAATTTTTTTTTTTATAGGAGAGGGGGCAAACGAGCATGCGGCTCACCTGATGGTAAGTGACTACCGCCGCCCATGAACAACTGCAACACCAGGGGAATCGCAGATGCGTTGCCGGCCTTTTAAAAAGGAGTACGCTCTTTTCTTGAAGGTCCCTAAGTCGTATCGGTCCGGAAAAATCGCTGATGGTAATCGATTCCACAAGGAGGTCGTGCGAGGAAGAAAACATCTTCTAAATCGCACAGTGGTGGACCGCCAATCATCCAGATGGTGTGGATGGTATCGGGAGTTCTGCCGCGATGTGCGTTCGTGAAATTTGGCGGCTGGGATTAATCCGAACAATTCCTCAGATCACTCCCCATGGTAGATGCGAAAGAAAATGCAAAGGGATGCAACATCTCTTCGCAGTGCCAACGAATCGAGCCGATCGGAAAGGGCTCGGTCGTCGACGATTCGAGCCGCTCTGCGTTGGATGCGGTCAAGTGGAAGGAGCTGGCACTGGGGAGCCCCTGCCCAGAGATGGAAACAGTATTCCATGTGAGGCCGAACTTGCGCCGTGTAAAGTAGCAGGCGGTGTGCCGGCATGAAATACTGTCCCGCTCTGCTAAGCACGCCAAGCTTTTTAGAGGCCAATTTGGCCTTCCCTTGCAAGTGACCACGAAACTGCACGTCACTCGATATGTCGACTCCGAGGATACCGATACTGGCTGAGGCAAAAAGGGGAGTGCCTTGAAACTGAGGAGATACGACAAAGGGGTTCTTTTTAGCGGTAAACGCGCAAACTTGTGTCTTCTGAGGATTAAATTGGACTAGATTTAGTCGACCCCAATCCGAGACTTTGTTCAGCAAAGACTCGACTTCAGACACAAGTTTGTTCCGGTACTCAGCGACGTTTTCCCGAGAAATATTGGCAAGGCCGGTGTATAGAGCATCAGCAGTGCTGTCATCCGCATAGCAATGAATGTTACCAGTTAGCAACATATCATTGATATGCAGAAGAAACAGCGTTGGTGATAGCACACAGCCTTGTGGAACACCAGCGTTAATAGGCTTGTAGTCAGAGCATGCACCGTCTACAACGACCTTGATGCTCCGATCTGCAAGGAAGCTGGTGATCCAATTGCACAATTTCTCGGGAAGCCCATAGGAAGGGAGCTTCGAAAGAAGCGCTTTGTGCCAAACCCGATCGAAGGCCTTCGCAATGTCCAGACTAACGGCCAACGCCTCCCCCTTGGACTCTACTGCCTCCGCCCATCTATAGGTCAGGTAGACCAGAAGATCACCAGCTGATCGACCCCGACGAAAACCGTATTGGCGGTCACTAATCAGCTGGTGATCCTCAAGGTACCGGATGAGCTGGCAGTTAATAATGGATTCCATTATTTTGGAGAACAAGGAGGTGATCGCGATAGGCCTATAGTTGGATGGGTCTGAGCGGTCGCCTTTTTTAGGGATCGGGTGGACAAAAGCTGTCTTCCATGAATTCGGGACTACGCCTTGGGAGTAGGAGTACCGGAAAAGACGCGTTAGCACCGGTGCCAACTCCGGAGCACACGTCCTCAGCACAATTGGGGGGATTCCGTCAGGCCCACTCGACTTCTGGATGTCCAGGGAGAGCAGTGCTTTGCGAACCGAGCGCTGTGAGAACAGCACATCCGGCATGGAGCACTCACACCGCGGGATGGTCGGCGGTGTTTTCCCCCCGTCATCAAGAGTCGAGTTGGACGCAAAAAGGGAGCCTAAAAGGTCGGCTTTGTCTTTTGCGTCATGGGCCAGTGAGTCATCCTCCCTGTGCAGAGATGGTAGTGATGGCTTACAGAAATTCCCTTGGACAGCCTTGGCGAGAGACCAGAATGCACGGGTTCCCGAAGGAAGGCGAACTAGTTTCTCGCCAATTCTGCCTATGTGCTCTGACTTTGCCTTGGCAATAACTCTTTTGAAGGACCTGGAGGCGAAGTTATACTTCTTTTTAAGTGTGCTGGTATTTACATCCCGAGTCGCCGAAGCTGCAGCCCAGGCTTGATAACACTCCTGCTTACTGCGTAATGCAGTCTTACAGGAGCGACCAAACCAAGGCTGAGATCTGCCTCCGATGGGTACCACAGATGATGGAATAAATAGTTCCATTCCCTGTAGCACCACATCAGTGACAGAGTCAGCAACAGCGCTGGGATCATCCGGCGAGAAGCAAACCCGCCCCCATGGGTAGGATGCAAAGAAGGACCGCATTCCGTCCCAATCCGCCGACCTGTAATGCCAAACACGGCGGCAACCTGCAGAACGCAACCGCAAAGGGAGCGTGAGTGGCACCACACTCCGGATCAGACAATGGTCCGAAGAGCCGAGAGGGGCATCGACGGAAACCTGATATCCGTCCGGATGAGAGGTCAGCAGAAGGTCCAACAGGGAAAGTGTATGATCCTCCACATCTAGAATCCGCGTAGGCGAAGTAACCAGTTGTGTCAGACCATATGCCAAGGCAAAGTCATAAACAGATCTCCCCGCATGATCGGTTAGACGTGAACCGAGCCATTCGGCATGGTGGGCGTTAAAATCGCCAAGGATCACGATCTCTGCGGATGGGACCTGTTGTAGCAAGAAATCTGTAGCCATTTGGACGTGGTCGATGAGTCGGTCTGTTTCGGCATTACCGCTATGGGACCTATAGAGGCACCCGTAGACGCGCGGATGGTCGTCGCTGTCTACGCGTAGCCAAAGGATGGACAGGTCCGAACCTTCAAGACTGCCGAGGCGTCGAGAACAGATGTCCTCTCTGACATACACGCAAACTCCAGCCCGAGGCACAAAGGAATGCTCCAATTTGTACCCCGGGTAGGAGAGATACGAAATATCAGCCGGAGAGGAAACCTGCGTCTCGGTCAGAAAGAGCAAGGCCGGCTTCGCCGTCTCGAGATGGTAGTGGACGGCGTTTAGGTTAGAGTGAAGTCCCCTGATGTTGCAGAAATTCACGGATAGCGTGGCAGGGGTCGCCTTGGTGTTCTTGCTCAGTTTGCCCCTAGCAGTAATGCTTTTGAGCGGAATTTTGCCCCCCCCCCCCCCCCCCCCAGAATACGCGGGGCAGCCTGAGCACCCACGCTCAGGATCGGAATAACATGGTCGTGGATGCTCAGCGAGGGATTCTCCAGGGGTGCTGGTACCCTCCTGGGGTAGTTCTTCGTGTAATTCCGCTACCATGTTAATGGGGGGGGGGGGGGGGGGAATTGGGCCTCCGGCCACCTGCACTCACCAGACGAAACGCAGAAGCAAAGCTTCTACTTCACGCCGGTATTCTGTGAGGTCGTGGTACCAACCCGGCTCGAGCCGGCCCATACATGCATCAGCAAAAACTGCTGCGTGGCTCTATCACCGTTAAAACAAATAATTAAATCTGCAAAATAAGACGTACATGAACTTTGTTCACGCCGGGCCCAAGCTTGTATGGAACAAAGTTCATCTCCTTTATATGTTGTTGCTAATATAAAAATTACGTATAGTACCTATATAAAAATACGGTGAATCTGGTTATTTATTAAGTGAGCGCCGCGCGCACGTCGGACGTACGTGTGCGTGTGCGTGTGCGTGTGCAGTACGTACGCGCTGGTAGTTGTGCACGCTGTCGGCGCCGCTGAGGCTGACGCCGTCGCGGGTGAGCGCCGCGCGCACGTCGGACGTACGTGTGCGTGTGCGTGTGCGTGTGCAGTACGTACGCGCTGGTAGTTGTGCACGCTGTCGGCGCCGCTGAGGCTGACGCCGTCGCGGGTGAGCGCCGCGCGCACGTCGGACGTACGTGTGCGTGTGCGTGTGCGTGTGCAGTACGTACGCGCTGGTAGTTGTGCACGCTGTCGGCGCCGCTGAGGCTGACGCCGTCGCGGGTGAGCGCCGCGCGCACGTCGGACGTACGTGTGCGTGTGCGTGTGCGTGTGCGTGTGCGTGTGCAGTACGTACGCGCTGGTAGTTGTGCACGCTGTCGGCGCCGCTGAGGCTGACGCCGTCGCGGGTGAGCGCCGCGCGCACGTCGGACGTACGTGTGCGTGTGCGTGTGCGTGTGCGTGTGCAGTACGTACGCGCTGGTAGTTGTGCACGCTGTCGGCGCCGCTGAGGCTGACGCCGTCGCGGGTGAGCGCCGCGCGCACGTCGGACGTACGTGTGCGTGTGCGTGTGCGTGTGCGTGTGCGTGTGCAGTACGTACGCGCTGGTAGTTGTGCACGCTGTCGGCGCCGCTGAGGCTGACGCCGTCGCGGGTGAGCGCCGCGCGCACGTCGGACGTACGTGTGCGTGTGCAGTACGTACGCGCTGGTAGTTGTGCACGCTGTCGGCGCCGCTGAGGCTGACGCCGTCGCGGGTGAGCGCCGCGCGCACGTCGGACGTACGTGTGCGTGTGCGTGTGCGTGTGCGTGTGCAGTACGTACGCGCTGGTAGTTGTGCACGCTGTCGGCGCCGCTGAGGCTGACGCCGTCGCGGGTGAGCGCCGCGCGCACGTCGGACGTACGTGTGCGTGTGCGTGTGCGTGTGCAGTACGTACGCGCTGGTAGTTGTGCACGCTGTCGGCGCCGCTGAGGCTGACGCCGTCGCGGGTGAGCGCCGCGCGCACGTCGGACGTACGTGTGCGTGTGCGTGTGCGTGTGCAGTACGTACGCGCTGGTAGTTGTGCACGCTGTCGGCGCCGCTGAGGCTGACGCCGTCGCGGGTGAGCGCCGCGCGCACGTCGGACGCCGGCAGCTCAGCGCCGCCACGCAGCGCCAGCGCCTCGTGGTCCGGGTTCAGTGCCGGGTACACCGACACCACGCACGAGTCCAACTTCTGGCTCTCCGCGTCTGCGGGCCCACGTAAGAACATCATCACTGAATGTGACTATAATATGGCAATAAAAATCTGCAGTGTGGTAAACACATAAGCATGGCGTTTCCTGATTTCTTTACAAAAATATTCAACGAGCCTGCCGTAACATACTTCAATATCTCAACGAAACACCCTTCATTTACTAATATCATAAGCGGTATTCAGGTAACAAATGAGATAGTACACATAAGTCTTAAAAGCTTAAACTTGACTAAAGGAACTGGCTGAGAAAATATACCACCTGCATTCGTAAATCAACTGCTGCTCTCTGTACGCATCTGTGTACTATATTTTATAGAGCTTTAAAAGAAGGTAGCCTTCCATTACTATAACAGCAAGCTTATATAGCACATATTATACACAAAAAAAGCAGAAAAACAAAATCTAAAACAATAGACCAATTTTAATTTAAAATAACGTATAATATCCAGTTTTGTTGCCTTCCATTGCGTCCGAAAATACAACTACCAATCTATTTATGACGACGTACTGCGTGGGATTGACCGAAGTTTGCAGGTTAACGTGATCTATACAAACTTCGAATAAGTATTCGACCGTTTCGATCATGTTATTCTGCTTTAAAAGTTACAAGCGCTTAGGATTTGCGGTGATTAGCGAAGGTGGTTCAAAGCATACAGTTTTAATCGAAGTCAAGTTACGGTCATAGGTGGTTTCAGATCTGATTATATTAATATATCTTCAGGTGTTTCGCAGGGATATCTGATTGGTCCTCTATTTACAGCACGCTTAATTTTTTCTGTATGCGAACAACAAGAAAATATAAAAAGGGATATCTATACTAATATAATAAAGCGAGCGGAAGAGTTTTTTTGTTTTTTTGTTTGTTTAAACGCACTAATCTCTGGAACTACCAGTCCGATTTGAAAACTTCTTTTTGTATATTATAGCCAGATTCATGTGGAATAGTATGATAGCCTATACTAATAGCATTAAGCTATATTACTCAGCTAGCCTTAAATATGGATACTTGATAAGCAAGTCAGAAGAAAAAGCACTCCCGAAATGATTTATCCGCGTACGCTGGTGTTATCGTTAGGGATACGTAAATACAATGTTCTAGAAAAATATGGACCTTTACTCCGTCTACAAAAAAGTCCGCGATACCATATGTCTATTTTTTATACATAAGTCATAATTTGGTATTTTGTGACAAAAAATATTGAAAATTTAAAAGTGATATATGAGCGTTATTATTAGACATGGCCTATTTATCCTTACGAACGAAAGTTACTTCATCATCAAGACAATTTTATGAAGATAAACTTTGTTCTTAATACCATGTTATTTTAAGAGATAATGTAAAATTAAAATAATTCAATACTTGGCTGGGCGCGCGAACGACGCTTAAACCCTAGCCGTTATAAAATGCTTGAACTAGGTCATGTCGCGCACCTCGGACACGTGATGACGCGGGTGAAACCGCGGGGCACAGCTAGTTTTAAATATACGGCCAAATTTGCAGAGAAGGTTCACAATAAATAATAAAGGCGAATGGTGAAGAAAAATTAATTTAAAAAAATCTAAACTTTGTATAAATATAAATTCAGAAAAGGACAAGAACAGATAGACTTAGATGTATTGACTATAAAAATAAGTGCATAACAACAAATATCGATATATATATATCCATCTCATTTACCCTTAAAACAAAAACAATATTTTTACCACATTGAAAGTTACCCCATATCGAAAACGAACAGCGTTAAAGACTTGGCAGTGATTAGACAGCAAACTAAAGTTTTCAGAACACATATATTAAAAACTATGAAAGCTTACATAAATCTTGGATTCATCATGCGCGTTATCAATCCGTTTCATGATTTTTATTTCATTAAAATCTTGAATTTTCAGTGTGTTGAAATATTGTTTCTATAGTTGGAATGCCAAATATAAAAAAAATATGTCGCATTCATAGTGGGTATATACAGATTAGATTCTAGCAATACCTTAATTGTCGGGGCACATACCATAACGAAGACTACCATAGATCATGTTTACATCATAACTTATTAACATTACATGATTGTAGATGCATAGCTGACACGATGTTGCTATACGAGCTATAAACTAGTGCCCTTGACCGTCCACAGTTAATACAGCGGCCTATGGGTTTTCGTATCCACAAAAAACTTAACAGAGTTACGGAATTGTTTTATGTTATACAAACTATGCGAAGAACTCTGTTACAAATGGAGTACTAAGAATATAAAATACATATTTTTCTAGCATATACCTTTTTTCACGTCTAAGGCCAAATACAAAGAAAGCTGTCTTCGACTTCAGGCATTGCTTATTAATTTGAAGATAGGTTGAAATTTTTTTTCTTTTTTTTTATAGGATAAGGGTGACAAACGAGCACACAGTCCACCTAATGGTAAGTGGTTGCTGCGGCCCATAGACATCTACATGTACAAAATGTAGATGCGTTGTCACCCGTGAGGATTAAGATGGAATGCCTCATTTCTAGTAAAAAGGGCCTCCGGCCACCTGCACTAACCAAGCGAAACTCAGAGGTAAACCTCTACTTCACGCCGGTTTTCTGTGAGGTCGTGGTACCACCCCGGTTCGAGCCGGCCCATCCGTGCGACAGCAAAAGCTGCAGCGTGGCTCTACCACTGTTAATTTTATTATTATCTTAAAATTAAATATTATTTAAAGATTATATTATTATCTTAAAAATAAATTTATGTTTTCATCTGTCGTTGTATACAAACATGCACTTTGTTTTCATTTTCATCTCACTAATACCTAATATACGGTATACAGTAACGCATAATGATTTCTTATGTTAAGTACGAAAAATCGTCGCCTGCGCTTGATATCTCTCCGATCGGGGTCGTGTGAGGTTACCGTCCCATCGGATTATGAGAGTGAGGTAATAGAGAGTGCGTCTATGCCTGTGCATACCCTCGAAACAAGTGCCTGCATGTAGTTCTAGTGCGATTGGGATGGACGACGCAACTTTCGCGGATTAAAAATGAAGTATACGGCAAAATTAGTTGTTTATTGTCGTTTGTATCGTAGAGGCAAGAGATAGACGTGGTCACCTTGCAGCTGGGCGTGGCGGCTGGCGACGACGCGCACGGTGAGGTCGGGGAAGACCTGCAGGCCGGCGCGGAAGTGCGCGTAGTCCTGCGCCACGTCGCCGCTGCCGTTGAGCAGCACGCTGGGCGTCTGCGGCTGCAGCACCATCACGAACGCCTCGGCCGCCCGCGCCCGCACCACGCGCCCGTTGTCGCACCTGCGCACCACCACCACATTACCTCCCCAACCCCACATCATGCTCCTCTACACAATGTGACTATCGAATCGTTCAAATTATATGTACTACGTACCAAAACAGACAAAATACTTTTTTGTTTGCTACACGGGTTGGAGTCTAAGAGCTCAAATCAATTAATCTATGCCAGGCGTTCACCCTCATTCGTCGCACTGAGGTGGTGTGCAAACCAATTTCCCTATACTTGTGACCACACCTTATGGGGCATTCCATTATAATGCTCAACGAATAACAACGCATCTGCATTTTGATTCACAAGCGTCCCTAAATGTAAATGTCTATAGGCACAGCATCCACTTACCATCAGATCGACGTGTGCTCGTCCGTCTCACTTACTTCTAGTAAAAATCTTGTAGCTAATGTAGTCATTCATCATCATTACAGCCCTTCATAAGTCCACTGCCGAACATAGGCCTCATGTAAAGTATAACTTAATATATATATATATATATATATATATAATTTATAATATATAATGTAAAGTACAACTTGTTTATAAAACTAGACGAGAACCTGTATCCAAATTACTTCATCACATTGAGTGATAAAATTTACTTGATGACTTACGTGATGGTGGTAGCCAGGTGCACGTTCCTGCGTCCAGGAGTCGGGAAAGCGCGTGCGTCCCCGTAAGCGACACGTCGCACCAAGGTTTCCACTTCAGATGCACTGTCCCCCTCCACCGACACCGATTTCAGATCTGCTTAACAATATACATAATATATAGGTATGACTATATCTATATAAATACATATCGTATAATATAGTCATTAATAAATTCATTTTTAATAGGGGCATGCAAAAATTTTAATATTTTGGCACAACAATTAAACATAGATTTATTTAACACCAATGTTTGTAAACTAAAGAATACGCTTTGTCATAACTTCTTTAACTAGATTCCTATAATGTACGTACGTTTATTATTATTGTGGGGTATTGTGGAGTATTCTCATCTGGTTGGGCTGAATAAATATGTAAAAGGATATAATAAATAAATATACATATTAAATATACTAACATAAGTAATACATAAATAAATAAAAGCTCAACCAGATGGAAGCACTCGGCAGGGGAAACCAAACGGCCGAGGGTTAAAGGGAAAGGGAAAGAAACCGGCGAACGATGCGGGCAGTGTTGAGGAGCACCGTCTTCTGCATTTGAGCACGGAGCGGTCCGTTACGGAGTCCCAGTCGCCTCAGATGACCTGAGAGGCTGAACGGGATTAGCCCGTTCGCAGATGTCCTCCACATGTCGATCACCAGGTGAACCAGCTCCAGGTATTTTGGGAGATATATGCATGTTATTATATCTTGTTGTTATGTTATATATCATTTATGGTAGGCAAATTTGCAATTGCACTTTAATATTTTTAGTTGTTATTAGGAAGATGATGCTGCACATTTCTTGATTTGTTTCTCTCCATCGTCTCTTACGACTCGAACGATATGGGTTAGTGGGTATTCCTACATCGCCATTATAAATTATTTTTAATATTGCGTTAATTTATTTATAATATATAGAGTACAGTATGTTGCATGTAATAGTTAATACAATCCTTTTCATTGTATAGTTTACTTTAAAAAAAGTTTCCTTGGGTTTTTTGCTGGTTCTTCCACGGGGTAGAGGTTTTATTCCGAATTAGTGATTAAAGTAAAAAGTGATTTTCAAAATTACATGTAATCTATGTGGGAATAATCATTTTGGGCCCTTAAAAAGGAACGTAGAAGTGAGAGATTGAGATTAGTATATATACAGTAATCTATGATTGAGACGAATATGAGAGAGAGAGAGAGAGAGAGAGAGAGAGAGAGAGAGGAGACGTATGGCTATATGAATGAAGGCGTAAGACGTATAAGACAAAGACGTGTAAGGTTGTATTGTATTAAATAAATTGAATTAAATTGTTTTTACCTTAAAGAAACAAATTAAAGTAAATATTTTGAAGATTAATTTGTTTTCGTTAATTTTGAATACCATATCCCACATGTATATTGAATAAATAAATAATTTAATATTAAAAATTTTGTACAACCGAAATAAATTATTAAGAACAACTCAAAAACTATTGGTCTGACCTTGAATTTGTATAGGACCACATGTGAAGCACCAGCTTTCAAATAAAAAAAGAACCATCGAAATCGGTTCACCCAGTAGAAAGTTATGAGGTAATGTAAATAAAAAAACATAGAGTCGAATTGAGTACCGTCTCCTTTTTGAAGTGGGTAGAAAATGATGATAGTGTATTGTATACTGACAGAGGTCGGGGGCCAGGCTGAGCCCCTCCCGGCAGCGGGCAGCGCAGCGCAGCGCGGGCGCGGGCTGGCCGGCCGCCGCCAGCACGCCCAGGCCGGCCAGCGCGCCGCGCAGGTGGTGCTTCATGCCGCCCTCCGCGCCTGCACACGCACACACACACCGTCACACACCGCCTTCTATACAACATTGCATCACAAATACTTATCATATGCATCAAATGTGCCAAAATATACAACCTCAATTCATAAATAATAGCAATTAAATTAATAGAATAAGACGTTACTTTGCGAACTAGTATATTTCATTACGAGTGCGGAAAGCCTGTCATTGCAAAGAGTTCCGACAAATGTCTACCCGAGCCGAGGCGTAGCCGAAGGTGAGGATTGACAGTCGTAACAAGTTGCAATGACGGTTCCACACGTGTACTGAACTATTTTTAAAACAGTTGCGAAAAAATGAAGCAATTTAATAAAATAATACTAATCATTTATTTCTTATCAAAGTTATGATTCACATATACATTGAAATTGGTACAGTTTTTTATACTAACTGGGGAAGTTTTAGGGGGTTGGCTATAGACGTCCGGTACTTGATTTTAATTATGTTTTCAGTTTAGGAGGCTTATTAGGGATAAGCTTGAACCTTTTACACTGTTTTTGGATGTCGGAAATGCGTTTTGAATTAATTACAATAAAAATAAATTTCACTAAAAATTGTGTGTTAACGAAACGCAAATATGTCAATTTGATTTAGTATTATGAAGTAGGCGTCCGGTACTTGATTGTAATTATGTTTTCAGTTTAGGAGGCTTGTCAGGGTTAAGTATGAATCTTTTACACTGATGTCGGAAATTCGTTTTGAATTAATTACGATAAAAATAAATTTCAATAAATATTGCATTAACAAAATGCAAATACTCATGTGTCAATTTAGTCTAGTATTATGAAGTAACATCGAATACTTGATTTTTATTATGTTTTCAGTTTAACAGGATTGTCAGGGTTAAGCTAGAACCTTTTATATTTGAGTCGCAGTGGAGAGCAGTCAAAGAGATTTTTCAGAAAACAAAATTATAACAATTCACATTACTCGTACATTGTTTCATTTACCACTAACATAGCAGAGTTTAGGGCAACCTGTTTTTATAGAAAAGATAAGTTGAATCTGTACTAAAACCGAATCAGAACGCCCCGACTCCACGTAGTCTTGTCTGCCCTACTCCTAGAGTGTTTTTGTAAAGCCGTAGGCGAGTACCGGTAGTCTAGAGTTTTACCGTTTTAGATTGCATATTTACTGTTTGAGACAAACTATTATTAATTTCGTATGATTGCTCATGTATATTTGTCAAAGGTGTTATACAAAAAAGGGTGTTGTTCCTTATTTTCAGCATACTTCTTATCATCGAAAACCTCGACCATAACGTAGAAGGTTTTAATGTTGCTGAGAGTTCGGAGAAGAATGCCAACATAACATTTTCTGAAAAACTATTTGCTTTTTTCTCTTCTCTCCACGCAATAAATTCGTCGTATGTAGATATGTAGCGACTTTTTGACTTTTCCGGTAAAATGTTCTCCGAAGCATTTTGTGCAATTATACTGAGTTCCGGTGGTGTTAATTCAAATAAAATATCGTCGAAATTACTCATTTTGTGCAACAAACAACTAAACTCGCAAAGAACATTTTTGGAAAACTGCGCCATCCGTAAAAGAATATAAGCAGAGATTATTTTTGTTTTCTTCACTCATTCTGGGTAGGCAAAGGGAACTATGCCCATACAGCCAAGTCTTCAGTAGAATTTTTTTGTTGATATGAAAATAAAATGAAATTTAATGAAATGAAATGAAACGTAACCTAACTCATTGAAGCAAATCATTAAATCTGATATTGAAACAAATTAGTAGCTTCTTTTTAGAAATATTTGCATGAATCATAAAAACTTCTATGACTTTTTTTTAGTAAAAACTTCGTGGTTGGTTTTTTCTTTTTAATAGACATTATTTTGACAGTTGGGAAAGAGAACGCACGAGTTCGGAAAAGGTAAAGGAAAAGCTCGAGTATGTAATAGCCCACATCCCGAACGCTATACGTCGTAACGTACGTAATACGTCGTACGTAATAAGAATAAGGATGTTCATACCTTAAACACTAGGAACAAACATAAGCTTGTAATGCCACTTACAAGACTCCACAGAATTAGTAATTCATTTATGGGGCAATGTATACGCTTTTACAACAGAATCCCAGAACATGTTCAAAGTTTGTCAATAAACAAGTTTAAAAGTTTTATTAAAGAAAAACTGTACAAAAAGGGTTATTATAATATCAAGGAATACATGAATGAAAATAACCCCTGGGAATAAGGTGATCGCCACGATGCTGGTTCTATGAAAATTAATTTAAAATTGTATAATCAAAATTATTGTTAAGTGAAATTATGTTTAAAAAAAAAAAGTCCCGCTGGGTTTCTTGCTGGTTCTTCCCAGGACAGAGGTATTTTCCGAACCAGTGGTAAATAAAATAATGACTTTCAATAAGTATTATGTAATAATCCATATTGAATAAAAATCATTCTATTCTATTCTATTCTATTCTATTCTATTCCCTGCAATACGTGAGTGATGTACTCGCCATTCATGTTAATACCGTATCCTTTCCAGTCCATTAATTTGAAAACGTCTTCCAATGCAGCGGTGAAGAGTTTCGGGGATATAACGTCACCTTGTCTTGCACCACTCTGCAATTGGATATGTTTCGTACTCTGGTTCTGTACTCGGATAGCCATCGTAGCCCTACTGTACAAGCACTTTCAGCACTTCGATATACCGACAGTCAACGTGGCACCGTTGAAGGGACTGCAGCACCGCCCAAATTTCGACGGAATCAAAGGTTTTCTCTTAGTCCACATACGTCAGATATAGTGGCAAATTGTACTCCTCGGACTTCTGTACAATTTGCCGAAGGGTATGTATGTGGTCTATGGTGCTAAAGCCTTTTCGGAAACCGGCTTGTTCGGGAGGCTGGAAGTCGTCAAGTCTGCGCACGAGACGATTCGTAATGACTCTCGAAAACAACACGTAGACGCGGCTCAGAAGGGAAATCGGTCTGTAGTTCTTCAAGAGAGCGTTGTCACCTTTCTTGAAGAACAAGACCACCGCACTTCTGCTCCACGCCTCCGGTGTAATGCCACTATGGAGGATGGAATTAAAGAGCTTCTGAAGTACTTCAAGTACCGGTTTTCCACCCGCTTTCAGAAGTTCGGCTGTAATTCGCCTGGGGCCTTGCCGTTTTTAAGGTGCTGGAGAGCCATTCTAATCTCGCTCAGACTGACGTCCGGGATATCATCGGAATAGTGTCGGATAAGACTTGCTCTTGGATCGTTACTCACACTTGCGTGTGGCTCCAACGATGATGTGTACAGCCGCCCATAGAACCTTTCAATCTCACTCAAAATCTCAGGTGTCTCGTAAACGCTGCCACACTCGGTCTTCAGCTTCGATAGTTGGCTCTTTCTGGCAGACAGATCTATAGCAAAAACTTTGGAGCCCTGGTTCCGCTCGATCGCTTCTTCAATACGAGCAGTATTAAAGTTGCGTAAGTCCCGCCGCATGCATATGGAGATCTGTCTATTCAGTTGCCTGTATGCTGTCAAATCAACTGAAGACTACAGCTTCATATCCCGTCTAACAGTCATGAGGTTAAGAGTGTGATCGGAGAGTTTTTGTGTTCTTCTGCGGCGGGTCTTGCAGAACTTAGCTCCGACCGCATGGACAGTTTCCACGAGCTTGTCATTCATATCGTCCACTGTATTGCAACTATTTTATTACGTGGTAGAGCCATGCTGCAGCTATATTAGTAGTATAGTTGTAGCACGAATGGGTCGGCTCGACCGGGAAAGGACCACGCTCTCACAGAAAATCAGCGTAAAATAGCAGCTTAACGCTGCTGTGTTTCGTATGGTGAGTGTAGAGAACCGGAGACCCTTTTTACTGGCAAAGAGGCATTCCATCTTAGTCCTCACGGGCGACAACGCATCTGCATCTTGAGTCTTTATTGAGGATAGATGTAGATGTCTATGGGTCACAGTAACCACTTACCATCAGGTGGACTGTGTGCTCGTTTGTCACCCTATCCTATAAAAAAATCTTCTAGGCACTGAAAATGGTTTCTGAGCTGAAAGGTTTCGGGCCTTTGGATTAGAGCACGAGAGGGACGGAGCGTTGACTTCATTAGACGAGACCTCTCCGACTTTACGTTTAGGTTCAGTATGCCTCTCACCATTCGGTGATCGCTACCAGTTTTCACCCTCGTGATCACTGAGACATCACTGAACAGTTGTCATGTGGTCGTCATAATGAAGTCAATCTCATTTTTGTCGAACCGTCGGGGCTCGACCAGGTCCACTTCCTGTGGAGCCGCGTCTGGAAGAAAGACAGATGGTCGCCCTCCCGGTGATAGAACAAGTTGCCGGATTCGAGGATTACCGCGTCCTCTCCCTCTCTTCGGACCTCGGATAATCCTATGATATTCCAGCGCAACTTGTCTATCTCTTCTTCCAGCTCCAGGATCTTTTCGTCAGTCCTCGGGGTGCGTGCGTTTTAAGTTGCCAGGTCGAGTCGTCGCAGGTGGCAACTGAACGTCCACCGGAGATTCTTAGCACCCCCTGCCCCGCCGTTACCATGGTCGCCAACGTAGCCAGGAATAGCGGGGCCACCGGGGACTGGGGGCCGTCCTTTTGTAACTTTTATCATGGGGGGTATATTGCCATAGTTGCCACGCTTGGCGAGCGGGTTGGCAACCGCAGTTTTTTTATTGTTGTTTTGCTGTTATCAGAAAGATGCTGCTGCCCATCCTATGCCTCAGTTTCCCTCTGTCGCCTCTTACAACACCCACGGGAAGATATGGGGTAGTGAGTATTCTTACCCGCCACTACAAGGTCTAATGTAATGATATAGTTATTAACAAATTATAAACAAAATTGCATGACTAAGTTAATACATTTATGTTAAATTTAAAATCCGGCTTCATGGACCAACTTTTAGTTATAGCATAACATAATTATAAATTCTCACCCTGCCAGCAAGCGCCAACAACGAGAGTAGTATTAATCCCATGTGCAGGATGAAGCGGCCAGTCATCAATGACCTCGGGACCCTTGCCGTCCAGCGAGCGGTAGGGCTCACCGTCCACGAACAGCTCTACACTCGGGAAACGGATGTTGATCGCATAGTGATGCCATTCGTTGTCACATACCTGTCAAAGCATTAATAATAATATTATATATAACATTATAAAGAAGCTAAAGTGTGTCATTTGGACTTTGTCAACCAACTTAAACCAAAAAAATAACAGATGCGGTGACACTTCTGGAAATATAATACCCTAGATACATTAATTATGTATATCCATCGACATATCGAATGCAGGTCTCAGGACCGTGCTTTGTGACATTCGTTGAGAGAGGCCTATGTTCAGGACTTATGAAGGGCTGTAATGATGATCATGACGATGATGATCAGCATATCCTTTAAACGGGTATCCAACAATGGTTACTCTGTGGCTTAGCAGCAAAGTGAGTAATAAATTTTTGTAATACATCGATTCACATTTTACAAATTAAATAATAGTTCATAATTATGTAAGCTATTCGTCCAAAGTAAGAAATTTTTCCCAGAAAATTTTGTGTGTATGTGTGTTTTACTTTTTATTATATAAGTATTTTTTATTCCACTTCAGTGTTTCATGGCCTATGAAACACTGAAATTGAAGTGGGGCGGCAAGTGGCCGCGGCGGCATTGAGAGTTAATAAAAGAATAAGGAAAATGCCAAAATTTTTTTTTGTAATCCGACCCGTGATGGATCAACTATTTTGGCTTTTGATAGATGGAGATGCTAAACTAAATCACCAAAACGTCTGATGCGACCCTCAATCCGCCAGCAAATGTAGCTCCTAAGAAATAACCTTCTTTAAACTCATCATCATCATCATCATTACAGCCCTTCACAAGTCCACTGCGGAGCATAGGCCTCCCCCAAGGAATGCCGCAATGCACGGTCCTGAGCCACCTGGATCCATCGACTTCCTGCATGTCTTAGAAGGTCGTCGCTCCATCTAGTGGGGGGACGCTTACACTTCGTCCGCCGGTACGCGGCCATCACTCGAGAACCTTTTTTCCCCTCGCTGAGTGACCTTGAGCTTTCTCATACGGCCAGCAGTAAAGGACCACGTCTTAGATCCATAAGTCATCACTGATTGCACAGTCTCGTTTTCAAGTTACGACACATCTCCATCACATACCTGACGAGAAGATGTGTCGTAATCTCCCGAAGCTGTCCAGTCGAGTTGAATCCGTCAATTGACCTCTCGGTCGAAGTTGGACTATTTGTCCCAGGTAAACATACTCGTCAAAAACCTTGAGCTTAGTGCTCCCAACAACTACCGTCATAGGTGTGACATGGAGGTTATAAAGACAAACCCATGGTACTACTTAAAAGCTAATGGTACTAACAATGACAAATTTATTTTATATTAGGTATTTTATTTTCTGAAAAAGCCCTATGAAATCGATAAAAAATTTCTTTTCCTAGTGTTCCAAATTTTTTAAGCTACCTGGATACAATTGACGTTCTCTTTGTTATCATAATTTTGAAATGATAATATATAGTTGACGTTGTACGATACAAGATTCTCAATAATTGGGCCACTATGGATGTTTGAATTTTCATGATCACTTATGTTTCAAAATCTTTGACCACCATGACTGCGTCCTCCTATCTGACACTGACTGGACAATATACCGTTTTCTGAGAACTTTCTCACATTAACCAGAGAAAATGAGATAGCTAACGGATCAGCAAGCTGAAGTCGCAACGGGCCGGCAACGTAGCTTGAAGTACTGACTGAGTAAAGATAGTGTAGAAAGATTTTAGAAGGTTATAATGGCAATGCTGTCTCTACTAGTAGACTGACAACCTGTTGAGACGTGCAAAAAGACAGCGACGATGTGGCTGTCTTTAGAAGGTTCTACATTTAGCAGGGGACTAGTGGTGGCTGCAATGATGAGAATATATATTTTTTATATCTTTGAGTTTTAATAAAAAAAAATACCTCGGGTATCTTCCAACGCCACTCAGCAGGTCTGAATATGTTCAAATCACCCTCTCCAAAGTCACGACGCAAGAGTAGAATGAGGCGACAGTTGCGTACGAATAGTGCATAGTGGTGGCGGTTCATTTCTGTAAATTTAAACATAAACAGATCAGTTAATCGCGTTAAAAAAGACACTTGATTCAATGAATTGTTTAGGAAAGAAGAACACAATGTTGTAGTTGTATTTTTTACAAACTATATTTCTATTAAATTTTTAAATTAACAGCAGAAATGTAACTTACTGTGATCATCGGCCAAGCACAAGATGTGTTCCTTGCGATGTTTGTCCTGGTCGGGCCACGGGGCGTGTCTCATCCAGGTGGACACTGAGAAGGTGCTGCCGAGCGAGTGTCCTAAAACTGATTCGGGCACCACCGCCGATGTGGTCTCACCATCGAATTCGAACATTTCCTCGCCATCGTGTCCTGGGGAAAGATTTTTGAGATTTGTATTTGGTGTAGTAGTATTTTTTTTATATGTAGAAAAAGGGCAACCAGCACACAGTCCACCTGACGGTAAGTGGATGCTGTGACCTATAGATATTTTCACTTATCTTCATTTAGGAATCAATATGCAGATGCGTTGTCACACCAGAAGACTGAGGTCGATCGCCTCGTTCCCAGCGAAGTAGTAGTATCATGAGAAGTCTCCACTGATTTTTAAATTTAACAATTTAAAATTTAAACATTTCTTGATTTTAACTATTTTATTTGTTCGAGTAATAACAGACTGGTTATTTCGCTCTGATATTTTAGACAGACATATATAACATAAATTTCTTTAAAAATCTAAAGAATGCTTGAAGTAGAAATTAATTTAGGAATATACAGTTTAAAATCTGCATTATTGAATGGTGAAATGAATAACAGAAGTTCATGATTAAAGTATATACTAACCTGCATCAGGTTTCAAGGATTTAGCCCATTCGTTGCCCTCTCCTGGGCTCGGCAGTAAGTCGACAGTTTTCGGGTCCAGCCCTGAAATGATAATTTAAAATTAAAAATTTGGCACAATCGACTTCAATATAAATAATTAAGAATAACTCAAAACTATTGGTCAGACCTTGAACAAATTTATATGGGACCACATGAGAAGCACCAAAAACCTTTAGAAAAAGAATCATCGAAATCGTTTCACCCAGAAAAAAGTTATGAGGTAACACACATAAAAAAACATACAGTCGAATTGAGTACCGTCTCCTTTTTGAAGTCGGTAGAAAATGATAACTATGGTAAAACCGTAAAATCAATTTAATAAGATGCAACTTGTGGTATATGGGTATGTTTTTATGTTCACTTTAGTAAGTCACGATAGTGGAGGCTCAATAAAAAGGGGTATTCGATACGTTATAGTTAAGAGTGAATTACCACCCATATTTGTTCATCGAGATTGAATATTAGTCATTGTTAAAATTTGTCAACAGGCTCAATAGAATCATATATGGAGGAGCATTTGCAATAACTTTACATTTAATTTGAATTCAGTTACATGTACATATTTTAAATTAGGAAATACGAAAAAAGAGGTGATCGCTTCCAATAATAATACATATCTTAAATAATTTTGAATGCAGCCCAAAAATAAGTAGATGGTTTGTGTAGAGTTCAAGCACATGAGTAAAGAAACCGACCAGAGGGGAAGCTACATACAAACGGCTCGCGGCGAATACACCCATACATAGCCCAGCGATGTGTGCGTGAGCTCTCACCGACAGGTTCACCGACGCTCCGTCGGGGTACAAACCGGTTTGCGCTGGCTCAGTCAGAGTGTCCATGAAAGGGCTGTTAGTCGTGCGCATTTAAATAAATAGACCAACAATATTTCGAAATTTTATACATCAATTAATTTATTAAGTTTTTTTGCAATTATTAAATAATTAGATTTAAGTATTTTAATTAAAATAATTAAGAATTAAGTTATTATAAATTTATATAGGTAAATAATAAGTGTTTTGTATAAGCAAAAATGTCTAATAGTTGTACAGTATACATGAATAATTCTAGAGAAAATAACGATATTTCCTTTTACACCCAAGAGATCAAGTAAACTAAGTACCTTTTTACGTATTATATACAATAAAACTAGGTAATGACATTGATAGGTAAGTGAGAATGTGTTAGACGGGTACGTCGCCGAGTGATGAAGTCGGTCTCACCTACTTGAAACGTTAGTCAGTTTAACCTTGACAGTGCCGCAGATGGCAGGATATCTTACGTAATAAGGCTAAATGTGTGACTTTATCCACCCACTTTAGTATAGAGGTAGGTTGCTTCCTGGGGAAGGATATAAGCTACTTTTTGCGAGTCGCGACCCTAGGGGTAAATACCACTGCATTATGGTTGGAATACAATCGCCAGACATTGGTGGGGGTGGTGGGATTGGTGTTGGTGGAAGTGGTGCTGGTCTTGGTGGATAGTGTAGCTGATGGTATCAGTAGTGGTGGAGGTGGTAGCATCGTAGGTAGTGGTAGTAGGCAGTGGACCAACAGTGGCTCCATCACCACCATCATTTTTTCCTTAAAATTTTCACATGCATTATGTGACAACCCTATCAGAATAGGTATACATTTTAGACGTTGTTAAGAAGCTTCCCCTCTGGTCCTTACTCTTTACTCTGTGGTTCAAGCTTCTCATTGTTGTCAGTGTTTACAGACCTCGATGTACCTACTTACAATTATTATGAAAAGTTTGTGGAGGAAGTTTTGCTTAAACTAAGTAAACATAACAAGTCTGTTGCTTGTAATATGTAAAGAATTTAATATCAATATCCTAAAGACTTCTTTCATTAGTATTAAGTTTAGCTCATTGTTTAAATCATACAATCTTATAAATAACTTTTTTAGAACCAATACGTGTTGTTTGACCTAGTATTAGTACAACTAGTATAGGTAACAGTTTTAAAGATGTTAAAAACCCTTGCATAAATTAATGCTTAAAAAATTTAGTTCAGATTACTGTGGATAGTTAGTCTTATTACCTTACATAGATAAAAATAGAAATGTAAGAAAGTTGTGTTTGTACCAATAAATGGAAAAGTTTAGAAGTGACATAGTAAAAAAACTTCAATTAATTCCATATAAAAAGAATAAAAACTAATAATTTGAATGTAGATTTATTTAAAATTGGAAGCAGTGAATTTAATAATATATTTAAGTACTTCTAAAAGTTTCTCGTTAAACAGTAGGAATCTGTAATAGAAGAAGGTTATAATATAAGATTTATAATGATTTTTAAACAAAACTAATTTTACGGATTTTATCGCGTATATTAACTTATTTTTAACTTATTTTTATATTCCCGACGTTTCGGGTGCTTTCCAGCACCCGTGGTCACGGGGGACTGAGTTGTTTGACGTCCTGCTGTCATAGTTAGCCCGGCTACCTTCAGTTTTTTAATATTAATTTTTGGTTCGATTTACGCAGAATGAGCTTACAGTATCTTGAAGTCTAGCAGTGGTATACTTGGGTTTGGATTTGATTTTATTAATTATGGGATCCCAAGCAGATGGCAGCACCCATCCATCTTCTCTATTGAAATTAGGATGTTTTTTAATTTCAATAGCCTCGCGAATCATCCTTGGGAGGAATCGGTGTTCTTTTGCGAGGATTTGTGGTCTATCAAATCTAATGTAATGACGGGGACGATCCTGAACATGTTCACAAACTGCAGACTTCCCGATACGTCGGTGCTTCACGTCAGCTATATGTTCTTTAACGCGGGTTTTAATAGATCTTTTTGTTTGTCCTATGTACGAGAGACCACATTCACAATCCAGCTTGTACACTCCTGCATCTTGTAGAGGGATATGACACTTGACGGATGGTAAAAATTGACCAATCTTCTTCAGCGGCTTGAAGTACGTTTTAATGGAAGCTCGCTTCAAGATGTAGCCAACCTTGTCTGTGACTCCTCTGACATAGGGTAGTACAGCAGGCACACGCTCGACTGTGGCTGGCTTCACTCGGTCACTGTGACGTAGGCGCGGGACCCGAAGCTTGTTGTCTTGCAGTACTTGCTCGACGTGCTGAAGCTCGGCGGCCAGATGTTTTCTGTCACAGATCCCTCGTGCTCTCTGAAACAAAGATTTTCCCACGGTAGCTAACTGTGAAGGATGATGGTGAGATTCACCATTTAAATATCGGTTGGTATGGGTATTTTTTTTCTGTACACAGTATGACCAATAGTGTTATCAGGATTTCGGATGACTAAAACATCTAGAAAAGCTAAAGTATTGTTTGCCTCTAACTCCATTGTGAATTGTATTTTAGGGTTTATGGAATTAAGGTGGTTTAAAAATGCAGTTACTTTGTCTGATGGTAAAATTGTGAAAGTATCGTCTACGTACCGCTTGTAGAATCTTGGATTTACAGGAGCAGTAAGAAGGGCTTTCTCCTCAAAGTCCTCCATGAATATGTCGGCGACTACGGGAGATACAGGTGAGCCCATTGCCACTCCATCTACTTGCATGTAGAACTCTTCTTTCCACAATAAATAGCCAGATGTGAGGCAGTGTTTGAGTAATACTGCATATTCTGTAGGCATGTTGTTATCTTCTAGCTTTCTAGTAACAATTGAGATGCAGTCTTCAATAGGTAGGCATGTGAATAGTGACTGAACATCAAAACTGACCATAGTTTCATTGTCAGCGAGATGTAGGTCTTTAATCTCACTAACAAATTGGTATGAATCCTTTGTGTGTGCTCTGGTATGTCCTCTTAGTGGTGACAGTATTTTCGCCAAGTGTTGAGCCAACTTATAAGTTGGTGAATCGATCTGGCTTACTATAGGACGTAGTGGAGCGTTTGGTTTGTGTATTTTCGGTAACCCATACAACCTCGGTGGTTTGGCACATGATGGTATTGTCGAATTCACGTCAAGATTTAATTTTTCGGAGTATTTCTTTATTAAATCAGTAGTTGTTTTGAGTGTATTAGTTGTAGGGTCTATTTTGACCTTTTTGTATGTACTTACGTCCGATAAAAGTTGTTGTATTTTGAAATTATACTCTGACGTGTCCATTATTACCGTAGCATTTCCTTTATCTGCGCGGAGAATCGTGAGCTCTGGTCTGTTGCGTAAGTTGTACAACGCTTTAAATTCGTCTTTGGGCAGGTTTAATTTCGGCGCTGAACTTCGACGTAACAAGGACGAAATGTCTTGACGTATAGCCTCTAAATCCTCTTTACCGATATTATTCTTAAACAGACAATCCTCAACACTACAGATAATTTCCTCGTACGGGATTTTTTGCGGCGTTATAGCAAAATTTAAGCCTTTCGACAATACTCTTATTGTTGGTTCGTCCAATGTTTCTTTTGACAAATTATAGACCGTGCGTTGTTTATTGTTTGCGTCTGTGGTCAACGGTTGTTGCGTTTCGTTTCTACGTTGACATGGATGTTTGGCATTTGATTTGATAGTTAATTTTTGGTATTTTTCTATTTGTTTGTTTTGACAAATTATAGACCGTGCGTTGTTTATTGTTTGCGTCTGTGGTCAACGGTTGTTGCGTTTCGTTTCTACGTTGACATGGATGTTTGGCATTTGATTTGATAGTTAATTTTTTTTTTTTTTTTTTTTTGTTAATTTTTGGTATTTTTCTATTTGTTTGTCTTTGCATTCATTATATTTCGATAAAATACCAAAAAAAAAAAAAAAAAAAAATTAACTATCAAATCAAATGCCAAACATCCATGTCAACGTAGAAACGAAACGCAACAACCGTTGACCACAGACGCAAACAATAAACAACGCACGGTCTATAATTTGTCAAAAGAAACATTGGACGAACCAACAATAAGAGTATTGTCGAAAGGCTTAAATTTTGCTATAACGCCGCAAAAAATCCCGTACGAGGAAATTATCTGTAGTGTTGAGGATTGTCTGTTTAAGAATAATATCGGTAAAGAGGATTTAGAGGCTATACGTCAAGACATTTCGTCCTTGTTACGTCGAAGTTCAGCGCCGAAATTAAACCT